AGTGATTATGCATTGAGCTGCTCACTGCAAGGTCAGCCTTTCAAAACCAGCCTGCTCATCAGGAGAGAGATGGGGCTTTCTATTCCCATAAACAGTTAACAGTCTCTGAAACTCAGAGAGGTAGTTCCAGCCTGGCCCATTGGGCCACTATTAAGTCTGCACCGACTCCATGGCAGTCAGTTTGGTTGGTTTTTATTTGATCAATAAAACTCTTTACTGTCAATTCTGACTTAAAGCAATCTATGTAACAGTAGAACTACCGCTAGAGGATAGACCTATAGGGTTTCCGAGATTACAAATCTTGATAGACACAATCTGTCACATCTTTCTCCTATGGAGAGGCTGGTGGGCTTGAACTACTGGCTTTTGGTTAATAGCCTTTAGCTAGACACTTAAGCCACTGTGCCACCATGGCTCCTTTATAGGGACATTGATTCAAACACTGCTTCTATACTCATTTTTCTATGCAATTTACTTTCATAAAAAATTATTTTTATTTTTGTTGTTGAGAATATACAGCAGAACATGCAAAATTCAACAATTGCTACAGGAATAGATAGGTGACACTGGTAGTCTTCAAATTATATGACCATTCTCCACACTGATCTTAGCCAAAAGGCGGAGAAGCAATATATATGACCATTCTCATCCTCCTTTTCAACTGATTCCCTCCAATTAGTATAAACTCATTGCCCTTAGATTTTCTACCTCATCTTTCACATTTTAGTTGTCCATTTTATCCCCTATAGATATAGCTTTTAAAAGAGAACACTGTTTAATGCAGTCATTCTTTACAAGTTAAACCTGGTTTTAAGAAGACTTTGAGAGTAATTTTGGTTAAAGGTTTAATGTTTAAATATTATCTCAGGAAAGCAGTTTCAGGGTTTATCAAGCCTCCATGGCACTTTTGATTACTGATCTCATTAAAATAACTTTAATGCCCCATATGATATGCCTTCAAATGTAGCGGCATAAAACTGACTTTTAAACAAGGTCTCTGTTCTATTATATATTTGAAACCTCCTTTATATAATTTAAAAATAATTGAAGAATTACAAAAACTATTATAAATTTACTGATGGTGATTCAGATCAAATTTATAATATTAATAGAAGAAGAAATAACATATGGTTATAAGTAGTACTTATATATTTCCAAAGCAATTTCACATATTTAATATAATGACTGCTTCTTTACTTTCATGCTTATTTTTTGCTTTTCACAAACACTAAACATCAATTTTCCCAAACACAAAACCTTGCATAAAAACTCTGTTTCCTTCTGTGTCCATCTGTTTCTCGGTAAGATTATTTTTACTTCTCAGGTCAGTTCTTCGGCTTCTTTTACATTTTCACAGGACCTCACATTTCTATTGCTCTGGAGTCTTGCTCATAGTGTGGGTCTTTGGCTTCCCTTTCACCTTCCCATTAAATTCAATCATAAAATAACTCTGCAGTAAAAAAGAAAATGTTTGCCCAAATCCTTTCCCCTGAAATCTTAGAGAAAAGAAAATTTTATCTAGCCCCCAAACTAAATACCTCTTGGAAGAATGTTTCCTTTCTCCTTAGATCGGTTTGTTGTAAAAATTCTTTGAAAACAACTGTAATCAAGTAAACGGGCACAAGAGCCAACTTGGGCAAATCTCATATGCTGTGTGGAACTATCAGAGAGGACCAAATATGAATCCCAAGAAAGCTCTACATCTGCCTCGCTAATGTCAACTGCAAGATGGTACTAATGCCTTAAGGCATTTATGTAAAAACAATAGAGATGTTTTTAAAAACAGAGATATTTATGTTAAAATTAGAGATGTTTAAAAGTGTGATAGCTATCATTGCATCAAGATTCAGGATCAAATCGTTTTTATGAAACTTTCTTTAGGATTTGACAAACATATTCGTAGATATAGGTATAGTTGAATGAAACTGAAAAGAGCTATAAATGCATTGTAAAAGAAGAATTACAAATAAGACTCGTCTCCAGGCATCACAATGTCATTTATGCCAGCTGAAATGTACACGCTTCCTGTAAAGGATATGTGGAACTCAGTTCAACTTTGCTAGGGACTCTGCTTTATCAAAACCGGACATGTAAGATCAAGGGTTAAAAACATTGTATGAATATGCTATAAATTCCCACGTTTAAAAATATCTCAATTGCTAAAAAGTTTTGCAACCTGAAATATGTTCACTAAATTAAAATTTCTAAAACCAAACTCAGAAATACTGTAAATAACACAAACTAGGGAAGTAAGTAGCGGGTGTCTGGGGGCAGTTACAAACAGTAAGCCCTTGACACTGAACAAAAAGCTAACAGTTCAGTATCACCCACAGGCACCTCAGAAGACAGGCTTGAAGACCTGCTTCCAAATGGTTACAGTCGTGAAAACCCAATGGAGGAAGTCCAGTTTGCAAACGCAGGATCACTATGCGTTGTTACAGATTCAACACTAGCTAGCAGTTGTTAACTATAATGCAGTTGTATGGTGCAAATATATCCATTTTAAAGAGTTTGTATAGTGTTACGTATAAAAAAAGAACAAAATTCAACGCACAGTATGATTTCAACTATATAAAAGATCCATAGCAACAAAGAGTAGAAACAAAAAAATGTTTAAGGATGATTGTCTCTGAGTGGTAGAATTAAAAATACTTCTCTTCTTTTATACTTTCTGCACCTCATGTACTTTATATAAGATGTATTGGTTTAGAATGGCCTCAGGACTTTATACTTGAAAGATTTTAAAGCTTCTCCAACAGTCAATTTTCTATTAAATTATTGAGAGGAATTATACCATGTTGCTCGGTATTGGCTTCTAGAAACTAACAAATCTTTCTCCTTTTTGAAGAATACCTGAGAAATTATAAAATGAAAAAATAACTAAAGTATAACTTTCTAATTGCTGGTCTGCTATGCACATAACTTCATATTTTATGTTCGTATCTACAAGGGAGTAGTAATTTCAAGCCTATAGCATGCAATTTCCTAATATATATATACATATTTTTATTTGTTTGTTTGTTTGTTTTTACCAAAATGTTATAAAGAATGTGTTCCCAATCCTAGAATCTGTCTCACCTTCAAAAGATTGCTCTATACTAAAGTAGGTTAAGCACTGGGATGTTTATAAAAAGGTTTGCAATTCAAACCTACCAGCCACTCAGAGGGAAAAAGATAAGCCTGACTGTTTCCATAAAGATTCACAGCCTTGGGAGCCCCATGGAGTAGCTCTACTCTGTCCTAACGGGTTGCTATGAGTCAGAATCAACACCATGGCAGTGGGTTTGGTTTTAGGTTTTATGTCGGACATCAGTAAATAAGACAACTATCTGATACAGTAATTTAGAAAGTTGAGCATTCTATTTGATTTCAACACATCTTGATACATACATCTTTCATTAAAAAGAACATTGTGAACATCACAGTTTATAAACCTTAGGGAGGGTACTTGGAAAGATAATCTCTCATTTAATAGGTAAGGAAAACAAAGCAGGGTCTGGCAGTGGCCACCCAGGCCAAGAAGCAAGGCAAGAATAACATTGTATTGTCTTTCCTCAGAGAGTTCTCTGGATGATTGAAGGGCTCATAAGACTAACTCAAACTAACTACCACTGAGTTAATTTTGACTCAGATTCACAGCAACTGTAAGACAGAGCAGAACTGACCCGGTGGGTTTCCAAGACTATAAATCTTCACGGGAGCAGCAAGCCTAATTTTTCTCCTGTAGAGTCGCTGTTGGTTTCAAACTGCAAGCCTTATGGAAGTAGCCCAATGATGGATTCACTATGCCACCAGGCCTCTTTATGGGTCATATGGCTAGGTGCTCTCATTAATATGTACAGAGAACACGTTGAACATTATGACAGTGAGGGGTGACAGTAGGTGCTCCTGAGCTTGGTTTTGCAGAACAGAGTTCTGGCTGAGGTCTCAAACTGGCTGTTAGGGCAGATCTGACGACAATCCCATTACTAGGAAGGGGATAGGAGAGTTCCAAACCTCTCTCTTGGGTTCCTAATCTGTACAGGAGGAGGGCTCTCGGTGGCTGAGTCATCCCATTCTTCAGAACCACTTATGACTGACACAGCAGAGTTGCTTCTTACAGAAGTAACACCTGACCAGCTTGAGTCCATTCTCCTGAAACTCAATTTTGTAATAGTACTCCAGCTGCACGTTATAAGCCTTTTGATTAACTGAACCATTTCTAGGGAAGGTGGAAGGATAAAAGGGAGCATCATGTCGGATGAACAGATCCGGAATGTTAGTTATCATTAGTTGGGTGAAAAACATTAGAATTGGAATACTAGTACTAAAAGTAAAATAATGGCGGTTTACAACAATGATAATGCCAGAATCTCAGAGGTACCTTTGAAATCTTTAGGCACATATGTGTAGTTTCTGGTTTCTAAATCTGCATTGAAATGGCCACACAATCACAAATTCCAGGCTTCTAGTCATTCTCAAACTAGTACAATTACTTTTCAATGCCATGTAAATTGCTTTAAAGCAGCAGTTCTCAACCTGTGGGTCACAAGCCCTTTGGGGGTTGAACGACCCTTTCACAGCGGTCGCCTGATTCATAACAGTAGCAAAATTACAGTTATGAAGTAGCAATGAAAGTAATTTTATGGTTGGGGGGTCACCACATGAGGAACTGTATTAAAGGGTGGAGGCATTAGGAAGGTTGAGAACCACTGCTTTAAAGGGAAATCTCATTCATAATGGAACCAGTGAGGCCATCACAGTGTTGTATACGTCTTGTCTAATAAGCAATAAAAGTCATTTATAAATGTGAACTACCACATTGTGCTGAAGCCATGTCTAACTCCTATTTCTGAGAACATAATCTGCCTCTAGTCTCCAAATCACTGCAAGGACCCTACACTAGAAACAGTCTTGCTCAAGAAGAAAGTGCCAAGCCGTGTCAGGACTCAGTGAGAATGAGGTACCACTCTATAAAGGTTCTTAAGAGGCACAAGACAAAAGTATAGTTAGCAACTCACCCAAAATGACTGGCAAAGTTCAAGGAAACATAACAGAGGAGGAGGTTTTTGATCATGATAAAGCTAGAGAGCATTCCATTGTCCATTCCCAATGAGAATAACACTTGAAGCAGATGAATTTGGAAGAATAACTGTTCCTTCCCCAACTTTATCTTGAAGCTGAAAAGAATACAGAATGGAATTGCATAGGAGCATGAGTGCTTCAGTGTCAATGGTTCCTAGAATCTGATCATATTGTGAATACCTCACAGTTTACAAAGAAAGGAGAAATCTGGCTGTCATTTCCTTGCCGTGATTCCAAGCCAGGAATTATGGATGTTTATTGGGAACAAAGTTGGGGCAAGAAAAATGTTACATGGCTTAGTTTCCACATTTATATACAGTACAGTCATTTTCCGCTTTATTTTTTTCTCTTTTCTCAAACACGGTTTTACTTTTAAGCATTTTATCTTAAGCAAATGACCCATTATCCCTAGTGTTGGGAAAAAGAGCAGTTATCTGAGCAACTGCCATTTGTATGTCTGTTAAGTCCACAAGTGGAATAATTTTACCTTTCTGAAATATTCACCACGTGTTCAAAGCCAGCAAGCTACTCCTTATTCTGCAAGATGCTGAAAGTATGTGGAAAAGGGGAAATAGCACATATGAGAAACAAGTCTTGACACCGGATCACAATAATTCAATAACTGTAATCACTGTTAATACTAAATAACGTAATAGTCACCGCAGTTCTGTGCTCAGCCCTAATTCATGCGTTTGAGATACAGACAAGCATAACCTCTGGGCTCTGGAACTAACCTTAGTGAGCCTATTATGCACATAACTAACCCCCGTATGCACATCGTGCATGAGTCACAAATATTGGGAGCTCACAATAAGCTCCCCTCCTGCCCCGGAGCCCAGGTAAACTCACAACAGGTCCCACCTCAGAAGCAAAGGCCATCTGTGATTTCTCTCAAAGACTCAGGGGAACAGGTGGTGGACGCCTAGGGATCCTCAGTGTTGAAGTCCAGAGGGCACATGCTTTGTGGGATTTGGAGAAAACCGCGGTGGCACCTCTCACTACCGGTCAATTTCAAGTAGCACGCACTGGGCTCCCAGACCCGAGCGAGCGCGGTGCGTGGGGAGTGCTGCGGTTCTGCAGCCTGGGCTACTCATTGCTCAGGGTGCCGCACCCCGTCCTCTGCAGCGTGTGTGTGTGTGTGTGTGTGTGTGTGTGTAGCGGGGGGGAGAATGGTGGGGGGTCGGCAAGCGCTATGGTTCCCCGGTCCGGTGGTGCTGACTGGTGTTCCCCTTCCAGCTCCAGACCCGCGGTCCAAGGCAAGCGCTCGTCCATCAGCACCTTTCTTTGCTGCGGGCCGCACGCGACGCTCAGGCGCCCGCACGCACCACCCGCTCGAGCCTCGCGGGTCTGGTCTCGCGTTCTGGCTGGGGACCACGGTCCCCAGCCTTCGGAGCTGCCTCCCTGTGGCCCAGGATGCTTGGCCTCCGCAAAAGCGGGAGCCGCCGCGGACAGGGGTGGGCTGCCTAGGGCGCCTCTGCCCTCCAGAGCCGTCTCGCCCCGGCATTCCCGGGGCAAAGTTTGCCCTCGCCCGGTGGGGAGCCCCCTCCTCGAGTCTCCGCTTCCCCCGTGGACCAGGCAGTTCGGAGCTCCGACGCCCCGAGGAGAGCGAACCGCAGAAGCCAGGG